ATTTAGAGTGATCACTAAGAAGCACTTAGTGTAAAATAATGCATGGCTTGGTAAAGAGACTCCAAGAGATCCTCCCAAGTTTTAAAGAAACAATTTAATGTCATTTTGACATTCTTTTACAAAGATGTCAAAAACTCAAGGTGAAAGAAAAGAGTGGGTGGCCTACTCTAGTGTTTTGCTTGTGCATGTAGTTCATTAAAATTCTCAATGTTTGTGCTTGTTTTAAAAATATACACACACATGCATACACATACACACATGCCAGGGCAAGATCAGACCCTTTTGTACAAAGAGTCCCAGCAGACACCATGTCTGTTGTCCTGTTGTCCATTGCTGATGTGGTAGTTCAAAGCCTGGTAACCTTTTTTGTGGGGTCGTGTTTATGTTTTCCTATGTCTTGGTGTCCAGTGACTCATTTGCTTTCCATTGGGAATTGATATTAAAGTTGTTGGGCAGATGTTGTGCAAGTGCCAGTGGGGTTTCATGGATTGAATTTTCCAGCTGATAGATGAGAAAGATCGGCATACACCAGTAGGAGTGAGTTGCTCATATTTTTTCTCTATTCTCCCACTAGTGCATTTTGCCTTTGTAAAGCTGGTGGTGCTATATGGCTCAGAACAGGAAGCCAGCAAGTCGTATTGGTTTTAATATATCCGCTTATAATCCTCATGGTGTCATTGAGTTTGTCTCCTAACTTATTAGTATGGCAGCTCTTAAGCCATACAGGGCCACAGTATTCACAAAGTGCATTCTAAACAGGAAGGAATTGGCAGTCTGCATGCAATAGGCAGGAAGAGGGACAGTAGTTCAAAAAAAAAAAAAAAAAAAACCCCAAGAAGAATTTGTGCTATTTCATAAGGGTAGAAAACAAGATGGATCAAAATAGAGCTCATTATGCAACTGCAGCTTTTAGAATTGCAAACATCTGCTTTCATTATGATAAACAAAATTCATTAGAAATGGTCACATGTATGTGTTGCTCTCCTGGCCATATTGAGACTGGCATGTGGGTTGTTGTTTCATGATTCATCTTAGTGGATAAATCTACCTTAGTGAGACTTAGCCCGAAAGAATAAATACCTCTTCTCAAACATGTGTGAATACAGCTGCTGGATCTATGCCATGTGTATGTTTAATGGAACTCAGTGGTAATTGCAAATTAATGCCAAATAATTAACCAGGGATGAATAATGTTGGTCAAATTACATTTCCTACAAGTAGTTTCAAATGATCATATAATATTAAGGATGCTTGAGGGATTCAGTCTTAGCAAGGATAAACTGACACATGGATCAGTAATTAACCAGTTTTTCATATTCAAAATATTCATATATTTTTTCAATTAGGAAAAAAGATATATATCTGTGTTTTGAAAGGAAATGTCTTTTGAAATATTATTTTAAAATAATTTTATTGATACACACACACACACATATACATTTATACAAGCTATACAAACCAAAAATAGAAACAAAAAGAATAAAAATAGAAAATACCTAAAAATGACAAAGAAAAAAATAGAAAAGAAAGAAGCAATATAGCAAACAAAAAGAAAAAAGTATGAACAATTTTAGTAATTGATCTCTTCCCAAATCTCATATTTTATCAATCAATCAAATTTTATTTCATCATAGACCAGCAAAAAAAAAAAAAACCAAGAAAATCACCATTAATCAGGGTAAAAAAAAAAAGCTTCTAAAATATCTAAGGATTAGAAAAGAAATGATGGCATACTCTATAAACTATAGAACAGTACTTAAGAGTAGTCAAAGAAGTAAAGTCAGATTGATCTGATAATAACTTCAGATAAAATAGATCAGAGTGAATCCCTAAAGCAGGGGTAGGCAACCTTGGCACAGCTGGCTCAGGAATTCTGGGAGTTGAAGTCCATGAGTCATAAAAGAGCCAAGGTTGCCTACCCCTGCCCTAATGTAATGGCTGGTGAGAGGCCATTGAATCTGGCCAACCCTTTCAAATTTTGGAGTTGTTATGTAACTGAGGTAAATTTCTGGTTGAAGACGGTGTGCAGAGTGGTTCAGAAAGATGTTTCTAGGTAGAACTGATAACTCTATTTGCAACTCTAAATCAATGACTCACTGCTTGAGATCAGCTAATGTACGTTCATAGCCCATCAGGGTGAAATTCATGAAAAGCCATAAGTAGCAGTTTGGCATATATTGCCTAGCACCAGGAAGTCTGAAGACTTATTGATCATAATTAAGTGGACCAAGCCAGCTGAAAAAAAGGAGAGCTTAAGCCAATCTGAGAAAATGAAAATCCAGGCAGAAGTTTTTATTTTAAATAGGCCAACTTCATGGAAAAGCACCACATTCAGAATGCAGAAAAGTACTTGGAAAATTGATCTAAAAAACTTGGATTGCGCTTCAAAAAGAAGGGTAACCTACAGGAGCCTAACTGAACTCCACAAAGGAGCTAACCTTAGATTTCAGCTGATGTTGGGCTCCTTTGGAGAAGTAGAAACATTGTAAAGCCAAAGTTGTATTTTTGTGCATTTAACATAATCAGCATGGAATTTACGGTTGTCCATAGTATGGAAAGCAATTCCCAGATATATTTAAAGGTCTTGACTTGCTTTATTGAATGATTATTTAGCCACCAGATGTGTGCCTTGGGGTACCTAGCAAAAACCACAACCTCGGTTTTATAGTAATTAATTTCTAGATGTTCTTCTTGACACTGCTCAGGAAATATATGGAACACCTGTTTCAGGCTAATCTGTGTGTGAGAAAACAGCACAACAGCATCTGCATACAAAAGAACAGAACATTGTCTATTTTCCAGTTTTCATGGATAAAAAGATGTACTATTGAATTTGTCTATAAAGGAGTTTATATAGATTAGAAAGGCTAGAAGATACTCTTGTCTCACTCTCCGTTGACAGGAATTTTCTTGGTGCTGTGTGCTTTCATCTAGGAATTTTTACACAACTTGTTCAATCATCAGTGACCTTAGCATGGTTGATAATATAGGTGAATAGGGAAGCCAAAATGAATACCACTAATCTAAATTGTTTCAAATTATCTCTTATTTATAAACAAATTGTTAAAGCCTCATTGTTTAGTCCTGGTCAACAAAAGTTTTTTAACAGAGATAATATCTATTTTAACATTGATCAAATAAAGCTTCTTTGTGTTGAATTTATTTTTAATAATCTTGATATTTAATCCTTTCAATAAAATCTTAGAACTTTATTCCCTTTCATTTTTTTTCTTTGTCCCTTCTCACAAAATCTTTCAAAATTTTAACAAGATTCTTTCGTAAATCCAATACAGGAAAATTATCCAGGATTACTCTCTTGGTTTGATATTGTGTATCCCTTTTAATTATTCACACATCAGTTAGTTTTGTTTATATACTCAATGTAGCATTTTTTCCCATACAATTCTTGTAGTCTGTCATTTTAAAACCCATTTTCAGATCCATTGCAGATGTCTAGCAAAATTTCTTCCTGTTTCATAACATCTTTTAAACATATTCTATCTATAATGGCAGACATTGTTAAAAATAATTCCTGGATCCATTGCTGACAAATATTAATTACATACAATATTAAACTACTTTGTTCCATTCTTTATTAATAAATCAAATGTAAGTATTCTTCTCCTTTCATTCTAATCTTTAATTCCTTCTGCTTCCCTCTAGTGTCCAAACATCAAGCTCCAATTCTATCATTTTTTTAAACTATTCAAAGCAACACCATTTTCCCATTGAAAAGATTCTTATTATTAGTTTCAAAATCTTATTTTAAATCCACCTGGACTTTTTGTCCATTTGTAACTTTCCAATAATAATATTCTAATCACTTTTGTTGGTTATATTAAAAAAACAACAGCAGTCAACTTGTATTTAAAACCTCTTTTGCTAAGGATGGAAGAAAATTACCCAGTCTTATATAACTTGTTGATCCAAAGATTCCTAATAACCGGAAAGCAGCTAACAAACAATTTTTGACAGTGATTAGAAAAGGAAGTCCATTGCAAGCCCATTGTTCATAAACATGTAGCTTTATCAAGATAGCTATTCCCTCTTCTCCCAGAACTCTAAAGCCACCAAAGACCATTATCTTGCAGACTCTTCACAAGGAGCACTTGTGGGTAATCTCAAGTACTCTCCTTGTCTAGAGAGGGATAGGAAGAGCCAGTCTACTCACCAGCTATTCATTCTGTTGCATTTGTTGGCTGTCTTCTCATTTCCTTCCAAGAAGTCTGTTTAGAAATGTTATTGTGATGATCATTCAAATGTATAATTAAATCTGTAGTAGAATGCAAATTTTATGGAGTAAGACATAAATTAGTAAATTAACATAGAGACAGAATGCAAGAGATTTATAAATGGGCATATGCAAATAACTAAAAACAAAATAATTAATATGTTACTCAGTAATGTGTCAATAAAACTTAGGTGCTTCATGAATTTTATAATTAAGTTTAAGAACATTTAAAGCTGAAATAGAGGAAAGTATGCATTGTAAATGATGGTATGTATGTTTTTTTTGGGGGGGGGGGTTTCTTTATCTTTTCTCCTGATTTTTATTTCACAATCAATTGTCTTTCATAATTTTAGTTCAGTTTTGTTTTCTATTTTCCCTTGGATAAACAAATGGAACAAAGGGTCCATACCTAGTGTGGTGCGTGTAAAACTCTATTAGCAAAGAATATCATGTGGATGTTTACAAAGTATTTTTAATTCTTACATTATTTTGTTAGAAAATGATCCTTTGTGACACTCCATAGTGACTTTCTCTTAATATTGACAATTTATGATTTATGACCTTAGCATCTACCTAAAATTATTTTGCATTAGCAAAATAATATCAGGAGAATACATTCTCTCTTGAAAATACTCACTTCTTTCCTTATAGTTATTGCAGTGGGATATTTTCCCCTTGGGATAGAGGAAGGGGTTAAGTTGTTTTGAGAATGTTAAGACAATCAATTTCAGCCTGACTGACCAGGAATATATCTTATTTTTCTCCACAGGAAAATGCTCGGCATTTACAAAGTGTGCTTGTCTCTCAAGTAGATAAATCCACCCAGACTGAAGTTGTAGGCCATGATGTAAGTAACTGTACTTTATAGGGATTTTTGTCATTTATCTCTTGAATTAATATTTAAATCTCTGCCAGCCTTTTTTCTTGCCACTTCTGTGCTTGTGTATTATTGTAAAAGTGGGCCACCTCGTTCATCTTTTGTTCTTAAATGATTCTTAAATACCTTTTGCAACTGAAAAAAAAAATCTCTGTCTGCTGCATAGTATGCTTCAGTAGCTACATGTTTTAGCAACATTCTTCTTCCATTCTCTAAATTTGCTCTGAGACGAATATGAGAAAATTTGAAATCTTTCTATATACATGTGCGTTTACTTGCTTGTCAATAACCGGATGAACTTATTATGCTTGTAATCATCAAAAGCTCAAATCGTTTTCTTTTCTCAATCTTGTTTCATAAAAGAAAGCCTCCAGAAGTTTGTCAAGAATTTTAGATTCATATTTTAATCACTGGGTCTCAGCTGGGAATACTGTTGGTAATTTAACTAAAATTAGTTGTTTTTCCCTGGTGATAGCATGAACTGCGACTATTAACAAAAATGCTCATATTGATGGAACAGTTAAGAGTATTGGTTTCTCCTTGTTTTTTCTTTAGAATCTGCCTTCAAAGAATATTGATAATCAAAGTTTGGAGAGAAAATCTAAAAAAGACTTACTTTTACTTAAAGAGCATCCTGTTGTTATCTTTTGCTTTTTGGTATCCCCAGTCTAAAGTAAATGTCTGACCTTTGTTGTTAACTCTATCCTTTGATGTGGATTGCTGTCCTGTTTACTTGTATGGAATTTTCTCTTTTTCAAGTTTGGAGTGAACTGCATGGAATAGCTATGTGTGGATTGGTGGAAATTTTTTGTTGTTTGTTTTTGAGGGGATTTTTTTTTTTTTTTGTATAATGTTCATTAAATTTAAAGGATCGCCTTTTCATTAAGAGACAAGGGAATTGGAGGAGATTGTGTCTTAGCACTGTCCACAATTAACACTGATATAGTCACATGGGAAAATGTAGCATCTGAACTATTGCATACACCAATTTTGACCTCTGCACTCATTTGTGGTGCTGCATTGTAGATTTGATTACTCCATTCTTGACTTATTTTTCTATCTATCAGTAGCTCCCGATGATAAATTGTATAAAAATTATGTATAATTTGTCTATAATATGTAGAAAATAACATGTATATACCTATTATACATATATTATATCTCTACATTTTATCTGTATAAAAGGTCTGTAAAAATAACATTAAAATGGAATAGTCACAAATCAAAAAGGGTAATTAATTATGACAGCCAAGAGCACCATCAATTTTACAGTAAACCAGTAACAATAATAATACATCAAACAGTCGTCCAGCTGAAATAAATGAATAAATCAGAAGCAAAATAAGATTACTTCAGAAAGAATGTAATGAGTCTCACTGGAAAGAAAACTTATAGGAGGCACCATCACTGAGAAAATAGTTGTTTTTTTTTCCCCCATCAGTTTAAGATAACTATTTTGCATTTATTATCCATTTTACATATTCTGTAGATTCAGTGTGTTGCTTTCCTCATGTTCTCCTAAATCATTCATTAATTTAAATAAAACATCCAGCTTTGTAGGGATTTTTCAGCTGTATGTTAAGTTGTCTGATTAACCAAATTGATACAGAAGTTTCAAATCTCCAAATGGTTATTATTATTACTATGCATTTCTGTTATTCAAAATTGGTACAGCTTCTTTTTCTTTTCTTTTTTTTTTTAAAGTGTACCAGAGGTACTTTAAGAGATGTTGTGGCTGAGAACTAGTTTTGATTCATTTGCAAAAGGTTTCCTGTTAAGCAGCTTACATAGGATATGTTGGCCCACAGAGTTTTATTGTCTAGTTGAAAACAATGGATGGTTAAAATCATAAGGTCTTGAAATGTTCTGTAACATGTGCTTTAAAGCTTCATATACTAAAATGAAATGCTGCAGAGTTTTGTTACTTTCAGAAAGCTTTGAACAAATTCTTCCGTTATAGAATGGATTCGCAAAATTAATTTTACTGAGCTTTTGTTCACCCTATACCCGGACATCATTTTGATTTCTTATCAACACACTTCCCCCCCCCCGCATGATTATATTCCATTTCACTTCCTACAAGAAAGAGATGACTTCAAGGGTACATTAGAAATCAGAGAAAAGAAACCTCTAAATAAGCTAGATGTGGATAACTTGGGATATGTACATTTAAAGTTTAAAAACAAGTTGGCTTTTTAATTATATTTGTGTTCCAAGACTGAAAGGCATATTGAAATATTCACTATGATATACAATATTGTGTGTAAAAGTTTGATCATTTTCCTAAAATCTGTATTAGTTCTTTATTTTACCCAAGTGGCTGCAAATGTTAGTAATTTCAGTATTTCCCAGCCATGCCGATTTGTACTCCGGACTTTTTTTTTTTTAAAAAAAATCTAGGCTGCAAGATCTAATAAAGAATGGTAGTTATTCAAATGAAGAAACTATTTTAACATAGTAACACTGAGAGGAAAATGATGGGGTGCAGATGAAGAGAGAGCTTCATTGTTTATCCAAGTTTTAATACCACAGCAAAAATGATTTAAAGACGAATCTAATCATCAGGCAAATTTCTGGGTTTATTCAGTAGCTATTTGTAAACATGAAAAGCAAAGCTGGTTTCTTTAATTAGAAGTGTCAATTTAACTTTCTTGTCCTTGCTTTCTTTTTTTCCAGAGATTGCTTCAATAGAGAGATCAAGGTTTTATTTATTTCAGTCACTTGATTTATTAAAACATGGAGAAGAGGGAAACCATTGAGTTTCACTGCATTGGATGACGAAAATGCATGAACTCATAGGGTAGATCTTACTTTGAGGCTTACATGGAGGAACAGATGGGGGAGATCTGTAATGCTTTTCTCATATCCACTTGTTTTCCTACTTCTTCAGCTGTGAATTTCACACTTCACTACATGATGGAATATTTTGCTCTTATCTGTTGAAGAACAGCCAAATATTTGCTCTCAATTGTTACATGTTGCAGGGATTTTTTTTTTAAGATGAGTTCAGATGCATACTCAGTTTGACTTTGTCCATTATGAACCATAAGAGTTGAAGGACAAAATCAGTAAATGGTAGTAAATAGTTTCTGATAAAACCGCTTACAACTGTTGCTTGTATTTCTGGTGGGTGAATTTGGGCCACTCACTATTGCTTCCGCCCAGTCTACCCTCCAGGTTAGGGTTTTTTTGGGGGGGGAGGGGGAAGAAAATGAGAGAAAAAAACTGTGTACATTCTTTCTAGCTCCTAGAGGAAAAATGCAAATAAATCTAATAGAAAAAATAAGACCAAGCAAAGAATATTGGTTTGCTTCTGTGTCTTGGCCAAATTCTCTGACAATTAAAAGATAGCTATTCAGTGCTTTGCGCATCCATATGTGCACACATTGGGAACATCTGAGTTTTTAAACCTATAAATGAAATTCTAAAATCGTCAAAGTGTCTTTTTGCAGTCGAGCTCTAATTAACACATGCATTAGCACAGTTGCCACTGCTGTGCTTTCTGTCTGGTAATTTTTACTAAGCATTCCAAAATAGCTACTATTAGCAGGAGTCAACAACTCACAGGCAACTCACCCTTCAATGCCTCTCTTCCTCAAATCATTTTAGCAATATGGATATAATACTAATAATGAATATTAACCCAGTAATAATGTGGCATCCATATAATATATTTCTTCTACGATTTTATATTTCCATCATAGTGAAGTTGACACCCAAGTTATTTCTAAGCATTTTCTAAGATGTCCAGCTTTAAAAATATTTTATGATCTTGGCCTGATCTTGATATCTTAAAAACGTGCTTAAATGTATTGATTTATTAATATACTGTATAGCTTTCCAACACTTCATTTCAAAATTCTTGTAAATAATTAATAGCCATCTTAAAATATTATTTAATTTCTATTAAAACATACTGTGCATTTATAATAATCCAAAACACATTTCCTTATCCAAGCTAATTCAGAGTAATTAGCATTCCCAATGCATCTGGACTAAATCTGACATCAAGAGAGATATTTTAACATTTCATACTACCCTGCCCGTTTGAGACAATTCCAGTTCCTTTTTTAATAACTTAGGTTGTTTTTTTTTTTTAAAAAAAAAAAAAAAAAAAGCTTGATTAAGCCAATCTAAAATACTAATATTCTTGTTAGTCCTGGAATTTTTTAAAAAGTAGTGTTGGCAATGGTGGTGATGATGATGGTGATTAAACTCAGAGCATAGGTAATTTGTTATTAGTTAATTAAGCATTAATTAATTCACTTTTCCACTCTATACTTGATCATTCCCTTGCTCTTTCTGTCTTTCAAGATCTTTTTTTGGCATATTTATAGTGTTTTAGATGCCATTTCAATTATTGTAGCACAATCCTACACATTTTAATTATTATTTAAGTATTTATGGTTATAATTTGTAAAAATAAAATAAAATATTTTTAATTTAACTTTCTTAAACTACAAAGGATTGGTAACAATTGTTCTTTTATGTCTGTTGTCAATTATACATGGACCTTAATATTTGAGAGTTCATTTGACGTTCTCTTCTTCTTTTTAAGGCCCTGTGGAATTCTTCATGTATTGACGGTTCAGTTTACAAACCTATCAGCATCTCATTGGTATCAACATTTTAACTGAATAAAATATGCTTGGATACAAGCAACATAGACCATTAATTTAATCCTCTCTTATTTGCCTGTATAAAAAGGAACCTGCATTGGCTTCATCTGTTTGACCTTTTTAATGATATCTCTGGAGGGGCAGGGTGAAAAATCCTTATTTAACAACAATCACAAAATACTCTACACTATTCTCTCAACTGCGTTAAGCAATAATTGTTCAATGATGACCAAATTTTGCAGAATTGAAATAAAATACAATTGTATTTCTATTACTTGTGTACATTTTATTTAACCTTTGGGGCAAGAATACTAGATAGATATAGTTTTATTGCCCTGGCTTCTATAAAGT